TGAATTAAATCTAGTTTGCTAAAGAACTGTGTATACTAAATCATGTTATTTTTAAAATAAAATACTTGTTTTAAACTTTTTTTTAATCCTATGTTGCATCTTAATGCTGCTGGTCTCCTTCATACTTTAGTGAAACCAGTTCCTGTCTATATGCTTGCATCCAGCAGTGGTTGCATGATATTTGCAATGTGGGATTCCAAATGGTGAAAACAGAGGACTATGCCTGTGTATTGCACATTGGCATGGCTGCTTAAGTCTCAATTGTAAAGGGAATAATGCAGAATAACAATTATGGGTCAGGGACAGAGCATCGTCACCCTTTACCAGGAAGTGCTCCAACAAGACCCTTCATGGCAGAACCAGCAGATAATATTTTAATGAAATCTGCAAGTTTAAAAAGGCTATGATAGACTTCAACATTATTAAATGTTTAACCATATATGAGCATTAACTTTTTTAGTTCACTTACTTTAGATTGTCGGGATGTGGGTAATATCAAAATGTTGACTTAAGGGGTATGAAAAAAAAAATCAAAGAATAAAAACTTTTTAAAGGTTACTAGGAAAAGGATAGGACCACTGTCATGCCACAGACTTTTAAAAAATGCCAGATACATTAAATATATGTATTTGCAGATGACACAATATAACGTTCTTATGAATGAAAGCATTTTAATTATTGAGTCAATTATTAGTTTATATTTTTTACTTATATGTGGTTTAAAAAAATAGCTTAAGTGAATCTCCAACCAAAATTTCTTAATGAGGACCTTGCACATAAATAACAAGGTCCTCTAATAAAGTAAGGGTTCCCTGCCCATCTACATTTTTTGCACTGAACTGTCAAAAATTACATGTGGGGGTATAAAAGTGAAAATGCTTACCTTACTTCTGCTTACTCCTGTGGCACTTAAGTGGAAATGACATCACCATCCCTTGGGTCAGAGTTTAGGAAATAATGAGTAGCCATATTGAATGGGAAGATGCTACTGTGCAGTAGCATTATCCCAGAAGATTGCAGATGCTCTTCATTCCACCAGCTTTTGTTGCCAGGGTTGCTTTTGTTGCAATACTTTAGTGCAGTAGAGTAAGATGGGGAAGGGGGCCCTCAATTAATAATTAGGTCTTTCGTGAAGTTGCATGAAGTTCAGCTTTAAAGTTTTTGAATTTCCTGCCAGAGAACAAGGACAATTTTTCCAAACAGTGATTTAGAAAGCATTGTCACCATCACAAACAATTACCAAACATATTTTTATTAACTGATTATAACATTAACAGTTAAAAAAAATAATAATAAATATATATATATATATATATATATATATATATATATATTTTATTTATATATATTTTTATTACAGTTACAGATATTTAAAACAAAATAAATGTATACAATTATAAAGCAAAGGTTATATGAAGCATTAATGTTTCACTTGTCAATGTTGATATATTATACTCTTTCAAATACAGCATGTCAGTTAACTCTTGAATTGCCGGTCAAGCAAAAATAAATTGTCAATGCAGCTAGTCAGAAGTCAAAGTCAGTCTAGTATTTTAAGCTTCTTGTCATTGTACAAAGCAGTTAGCAGCCTTAAAAAAAAAACCTTCCCATTTGAGACCAATTGCAGGAAAAATTTAAGAAAATTATATGTTGTAGCTTGACACAGAGAGTTTATATTACTGATATCACTTAGGCAATCACCTTTAATTCCTTCCAATGCTTCTTAGGGACACAAGGCTTAACTGGCCTCAGGCAATGGAAAAAAAATCCTCCTAGTGATACTGTAAATTTGTTAAAATGTCAATGGGGCTCTTGAAATCAATGTTTACAATGCAGGCATGCATGCCAACCTTATGTTACAAGCAAGCAGATTAAAGCCATTTTTAAAATGAATGCAAAAAGCAAAATAGTGTCTTGAACTGTGTATATCCTTATGGTTCTTGCTTTATAAAGGAAATTACATTTGTCACAAGGTTATACATCATTTTCACTGCGGCGTATAGTCCCTTCTGTGTGTCAAGTATAAAACAAAAGCATTTTGTGAAAAATTGCTAAAGAAGTAATGATTTTTGTCCTCAACTCTTTGTTTTGCCTTTCAATAAAGAAGGCGACGTGTGCCTCGAATGATATATTATTGTTTTGGTGCATCCCTAGGAACACAGTGCATAACCAAAACCATGTTTCACTGCTGAGAAGCTATAGTTTACTGGCCCTATGGCTCTGATGAGAATATAATGTTCCACAGTTTATAAATGCTTTGAGGTCAATACATGATTTGCTCCGGCTTGTTCATCCAATGAGCAGAAGGTCCAAAAATATATCAAGCCATTAGACAGCCCAGGATATAGGTTGCACAGTGTAATCTCCCTGGTGTTTTTAAACAATTTAAAACATTGGAAGCCTGGGTAAGGTTTCTGGTGATGGAAAGCGCTCTATGGAAACCTCTCTGTCAACTGGAGATGAGATAATTAGATCCAGGTAATACATAGAAGCCCCATCAGGGAGCTGGAGAGCAAACATGTCATCTTTATGAGTCTTTCTTGTCCTCCCCAGCAACTGTGGACTGTAGATAGAAAAGAAAAAAAAAACATGAAGGATTCATCAGTGCCCTGAAACAACCACAACACAAAAGATAATCAAGCTTTCATCGCTTCATCATGTCCTTTACCTGGAGACATGCCATCCCCGTTGACAAAAATACCAGGGCAGCAAAAACAATTGCTCACTATTTGGAACTACTTATGTACACTTATAGGAAATGTTCATCATAACACTTATTATAAATTAATATAAATAAAAATGAAAAAAAAAACGTATATACCTGCATTCTGCAACATAGAATAATGTAAGACTTTAAACATCTCAAAATACATATTGTAGAAAAGGTATTTTTATTTGCTATAAGCAGGTTAAATACATTAAAGAAGAACTCTCCAACCTATAAAATAATTATATAAATTGTTCATTATTTATAACAAAAAAAAAGTTTTTTTCTGCAGTTATCACTATCTCTCTGACACTGTCCCAAAAAAAGAAAGTCCTTTCCAAGATCAAGCACTACTCATTTTACGTGTTGAACGATGGCCAAGATCATCCAGCCTACTTCTTCTAAGCCTAGGCCATCATGAACAGGCCTCTCGGGGCATGTTATCACACTGAACTGGATTCACAGGAGAATATTGCAGAGAGCAGCAACACATAATGGCATGGTGCCAGTCTTTGCAGCATTCTGGATCTGCCAACTGCTGAAGAAAGAAAAGGAACTGTGACATCGCATAACTGGACTTAAGGCCCCTGGAAAAAAATATAATTTGTTTTTTTAAATATGATACGGGGTTGCTGTAAATTGAGAGAGCAAACATAATCGAGAAGGTAGAGTTCCACTTTAGAAATGTTGATTTCTCACTGACAATAACACGATAACCAACAGCAGTGAGGTACTCAAAAAAATGACTTTTTTCTTTAATAAATAAGTAAAAATAATAAAACATATTTTTTTTTGTTTAAAAAGGAGAAGAAATTTTAATTGTACAGTTTATAAAATAGTCCTCAAAACTTACTTCTAGGTTGGTCTAATGTGAAAAAGCACCACACTAAATTTCCAAATGTATATGAATAAATACAACTGTACAAAGTTATATTTAAAGTTGACTACTGGACTCGGGATTGAGCTAGTTTGGGAAGGGAATGATGTCAACATTTTTGGAAGCAGTAAAATGATAAAGTGCATAGATCAGTTACCCATAGAAACCAATCCTTTTTCAGCTTTTTGTTGCCAAATTAGACTGATTGCTAAACATTGCCCAGTGTCTTATCCTGCTTAAAATATTCAACACTCTTCATAAAAGCAATTAACTCCAAGTGCTGGCAGTTAAAAGAACTTGTGTGTACAACCCTCTTTAACTTTGCTAATGATATTGATAAATAGGGTTGCAACCCATACTAAACATACTATACTAAGCATTTAAAATAAGGAAAAATCACCCAAACAAAATAGTGGAAAAAACTAAAGTATAAACCAAATATCATTACAAATCCCAAAATATTTCCCAATACTTAAGGGTTCATATGTGTATAATTAATGTTGGTACTGCTGCCGACACCACTTGTGTTCTCACAGATAAAAATATATAATGTAATTGAAAAAGTGCTGTGCAGTACAAACATTACCAGTGCTAAATCATAAAGTGAGTGCTCATATAACATACACCACCATTTGCTACTAGGAAACAGCAATTAAATCCCAAATATATATATATATATATATATGTTAATTAGACATGCGTATATAATATGCGTGTATAACAAATTCCGTGTTTTTTAAAAAACGTTTAAGATAAAACCATTCGTTATGAAATAAAGTTCCAAGTGTCCATAGAAATCCTTATTTTGTGACAATCCAGCAGTGCCAACTTTTTCATTCTGCGTTAGTCACTCTCCATTTTATATTTTCACCACGTGCAGGTATCCCTTCACCAGCATTAGTGTGCTTTCATCTTAACCATAGACCTCACATGTGGTTCTGAATTTGCTCACCCCTTGTAGTGGGGTCCCCTGTATCACAGAGGAAAAGGCTCCTTTCCATCCACTGGTGCTTCTCAATCCATCTCCATCCTTTGCAATCCTTGGGTGAATACTGGTAATACGCTCAAAATAAAAAAGGAAATATAGTGCTCTCCGAATAAAAACTTCTATTTATTAATTATTATTAAAATACACTCAACATTTTGTGTGCACACAACTGGTGCATCCCGTACATAGGCATAGATAGCTGAAACCAACCAATAAAATGGCCAACCTTATACTTCTGGTTTGTGTGGCATGATGTCACCAGTTCTTCCCAATGCATTGTGGAATTTAATCACGTGGCTTCATCAGGGGATGAGAGGACAGTACATGCAAATCATGTTACATACTCTTTAATGCAATTAGTAACCTTGGAAATGTATGCATCTCGCGGCCACCATTTTTTTGGAGTCTCTAATAACTTAAAGTGTTTACTAAACCCACAACAGTAAAATCAGTCTGTATATGCAGTAAAGCATGCTTGTTATACTCACTGTGGAACCTAAGGGGTTAATCCTCTGCATTGTTTAAAAAGGCTGTTTGGTCCTGTTTTCTCTGCCCCTCCTCATGTTGAAATGTCCACCTGATAAGACAGACTTTACCCATAGCCACATGCAGGGACGGACTGACAACTCATGGGGCCCCCGGGCAATAGGGGATCATGGGGCCCCTGTGTCCTTGCCCAAACTCAAAAAAGCCTATGAAAAATGTACCAGGGGCATCTCATGGGGCCCCCTACTGACCCCGGACCCTCAGGCAGTGCCCGAGTTTCCAAATGGTCAGTCCGCCCCTGGCCACATGCATATGCTCAATTTAGTGTGTAATGCTAGAGAGGTTTTTTTTCTTGGGAGAGTGCATGTGATCAGCACAGGGCCAATCAGCACTGTCCAGACAGAGGTCAGGAGGTATGCAGCCTTCTAGAGCAGAAAGAAAACTCCTCCTACAAGCTTTAACCAGTGTTCTGCTGAAGTCACAAGACTGCTGTAACTGCTGATGAGAAAAGGTATTTAGAAGTTTATATTTACTAAAATAATTGCATTTCCATGTTGTGTGTACTGTAGGAGACCAGATATAGTGAATGCAGGGTCCTGGGATTAGTAACACTTTAAGAGAAAGCATCCTGGTGGCCATTTTACAAGAGGTCAAAACAGATACTAAGAGGAAAAAAACTACCGCCCGGCTTATTACAATAAGAAAAAAAGAGGAATTGCCTACTCGGTCGTCATTTGTTTGGCGTTAATTACAATGACATACCTATTAAAACTAATTTAACCAGGTTATATAAATATACTCATTCTGTCAGTACCTAAAAATGACAAATATTATTATTCCAAGCTTCTGCACAAGTACTAAAACTGATACCTTTTTGGTGCGGTGAGGTGCGATTTGAGCCCATACAAAATGAATAGGCTCAAATCGCACTGCAAAGAATCATACAGTATATGATTTGAACAAGAATGAGGTGCAATTCCTGTCCGATTCAAATGCGGTTTCCCGCACCGCTCCTGTGTGAACCCAGACTTGTCATAGTGACTTCAGCCTGGCTTCACACAGGAAACCACATGTGATTCAGACAGGAATCGCACCACATTCCTGGTCAAATCACATGCACTTTGCAGTGCGATTTAAGCCCATTCATTTTGTATGAAAATACAATGAAAAAAATAAGTATCTCTAATTGGTATTGGCAAGAACTTGAGCAAAAGTATTCACACTCGCTCTGAAAAAACTGGTATTGGTGCATCCCTACTGATAATAGTAACTTAAAACATTGTAAAAACAGAAACTGAATTGTGGAGTTCTGTTATGTAAATATAATGCTTATATGCAACAGTAACAATTTGTTATTGATTTGTGCCAATTGTGAAGCTTCACTGTGATTTCTGCCTTACGCAGTAGGACAGCGTAGCTTCAGTTGGCATTACTCAAACCTCATAGTTTAGATGCATATCTGTGTTATATTATGTCCCAATATGAAAAAGTGAGGTCAAAAATCCTTCTGTTTCAAATAATGAGCAAATGCACCTTTTTAGCCTCAGGTCTTCATACACAATTTAGCCAGAGAGCCAGTGCATATCATGATTTAGCTTCTGACATCTCCTGCCTCTAGGCCAAGAGAGACTAATACAGATTTCTGTGTGCTCACAGTGGAAAAAAAGTGAGACAGAGGCCTTTATTGACTAAATGATAAAGAGGTTTGTAATGATAAATAACAGTCATTTTATTGTGGAATTCCCAGAAAGGATGCATTCTGTGGTGTCCAATAGACTGAATACATAGACTTACCCTTAGGAGCTGACCGTGTTAACTTGTGACCTTGATAAGCAACAACAGCTACCACAACACTTACTTCCTGTTGTGTTACATTGTGCATTGAAGGACTCTAAATACTGTTCTCCTGGGTTTAAGGTAGAAAAAGTGACTTGTGAATCTGTTTCAACAAGCAAGACAAGTACAGTGTTCCGTATTAATATCTTGACTGGCACGTGGAGTGTACTTGATTGATGATTGCTTAGACGGTTTGGGAGCTGCAGTAGATTATTTGACCATGATTGTCCATTATTATCAATTGCAACTGGATTATAGCCATCAATATAAACACCTCTTTCTTGGCCTCTGACCTAATTTTGAGTACAGATCTATAGCCATAATGACTCTGGAGTAATGTATATATTAAATACATGAAGATAAAAACAGGGACGACATTTGGTACAAATTTACTTATGCATAGATGTATGCATAACAGTGATAGGAAATTAGGTACTGGGGACATTGGATCATATGGGATAGTTTGGAAATGTGAAAAATTATTTCCCATTAGGAAAAAACTGAATATGTAGATATAAGGCAGACAAGGTTTTTCAATTATCACCTGTACAAACCGAACTGCTTTAGGACTTATCATAGTGTCTGAATGAAATCAAGTTTACTTTTGGTCTAGAGCAGTGTTTCTCAACCTTTTTCAGTCATAAAATTATGGACAATGTCAAGGCACCCTCTAAAATTATGGACAATGTCAAGGCACCCTCTACAATTAAGGACAATGTCAAGGCACCCTCTAAAATTATGCACAATGTCAAGGCACCCTCTACAATTAAGGACAATGTCAAGGCACCCTCTAAAATTATGGACAATGTCAAGGCACCCTCTACAATTAAGGACAATGTCAAGGCACCCTCTAAAATTATGGACAATGTCAAGGCACCCTCTAAAATTATGGACAATGTCAAGGCACCTTCTAAAATTAAGGACAATGTCAAGGCACCCTCTAAAATTAAGGACAATGTCAAGGCACCCTCTACAATTATGCACAATGTCAAGGCACCCTCTACAATTATGCACAATGTCAAGGCACCCTCTAAACTTATGGACAATGTCAAGGCACTCTCTAAAATTATGCACAATGTCAAGGCACCCTCTAAAATTATGCACAATGTCAAGGCACCCTCTAAAATTATGGACAATGTCAAGGCACCCTCTACAATTAAGGACAATGTCAAGGCACCCTCTAAAATGATGGACAATGTCAAGGCACCCTCTAAAATGATGCACAATGTCAAGGCACCCTCTAAAATTATGCACAATGTCAAGGCACCCTCTAAAATTATGGACAATGTCAAGGCACACTCTACAATTAAGGACAATGTCAAGGCACCCTCTACAATTAAGGACAATGTCAAGGCACCTTCTAAAATTATGGACAATGTCAAGGCACCCTCTAAAATTATGCACAATGTCAAGACACCCTCTAAAATTATGCACAATGTCAAGGCACCCTCTAAAATTATGGACAATGTCAAGGCACCCTCTAAATTTATGCACAATGTCAAGGCACCCTCTAAACTTATGGACAGTCCCGAGGCACCATTTAAAATTATGGTTAGTCTTGAGGCACCCCATTCTAAAATGTAAAAAGCTATTCTAATAGTTTTATAAAAATGCAGCAGCATCTACACACTTACCCAGCGTTGATGGTTATTTATTCTTCCAAGCAAATACACTTTTGCACACTTGTACTGACTAGTATTCCAATGTTTCTCCTCTCCTTCAGTTTTTCTCCATCACTGAGCTAATGTGACCGCAGTGCTGACGGAGAGGGGCAGGGGAGGGTCAAACGAGGATGCTGTGCATGTACCCAACATCCTCCTTATCAATTGTTGATGTCATTGCTTGTCAGGTTGCCGTCACCTATAATATTGTAATGGTGCACAATGAAAATCTGTAGCTTTGTGTAACTAAAAGGCTTGTTCCACCTGCTGGCTTGTATTCAAGTTTTGAGCAATTTTTAGACATTTTGCCAAGGCACCCCTAAAGAAATCTCAAGGCACCCCAGGGTGCCTGGGCATCCAGGTTGAAAAAGCTGGTCCAAAGAAATAGGGAATCAATACACTGGCCTTATTTATTAGAGAGGCCTAAATAAAAACTGTCTGTATTGCCTCAGTCTAACTCAAACATGTGTTGGAAAGATCCAGTTGGAATCTAAAAGCCCGAAGCTGATTAGCTTTCTTTGAAGAAACACAAGAATACATGATTAATAAGGTCCAATAGAAATGCAGATCCAGCACCCACCAATTTCCTCAATCTTTCTTTCACCCAAGGCCACACCACAATTTCAGCAAGGACTGTAGTATATCATGAGCAGCTAATTTGATCAATGATGGCGTACTGTTTGAATTTCAGTAAATTTAATTTATTAAAGCTGATCTCTGGGAATGAGAAAAATGTACCCTTGCAGTACCCGTTCCCCCACCCTTCCTCATTTAGTCACGGGAAACAAGAATAAGTTGTATTACTTACCTTATTCCTGACTCTGGTAGGTTCCAGCACTGTCCTCAAGCTCCAGGCTGTGGACAGTCCCTGGGTGGCACTGCATACAGTGCACGGCTATTAACTCTGCATTATAATTAAGGCGCGAACCTGCAACCGTGTCCTGAAGATGAGAGGATGCTGCAGGGGACCAGTCATGTGGACTGAGGAACCCTATCAGAGCCAGGATTAGGGCAAATAATGTATCTTATCCCTCCAACCCTAGACTAAATGGACATTAAATCCTTGCAGTGAGTTCCCACTGCAAGGATACATTTTGCCTCATTACCTGAGTTCATCTTTAACTACTTCAGGTCCAGAAAGGTTCACCCTTTTCCAGCCCAGGCCATTTTTCAGATTTCTGCACTGTCAGACTGTTAATGACAATTACAACACTGTACCCAAATTAATTGTATACCTCTCTTTTGATCTTTTGAGATAGATAGAGCTTTCTTTTGGTTGTACTTCACTGGATTTTTTATGCTTTGCTATATAAAGAAAAAAAGATTTTGAAAAAAAACAAGTTTTTCTTAGTTTCTGTTATAAGGTTTGCAAATAATCTTTCTTAATAACTTTAGCCCAAAATGTGTTCTGCTACATTTCTTTGATGAAAAAAAAACAGGTGTAAATTATGTTGACTGCATGAACGTTTTAGAGTCTACAAACTGTGGTGTATACATATATCTAAGTGGATAACAGTTATTTTGTGATAAATACAATACAGTGCTGCACTCTCCTTACATATATACTGTATATACCATGTTATTAAAATCGAAATACAACATGTGAAAAAACATATGTGATAAATGATCAACTCATTTAACGTGATAACTATCCTATGAAAAACTGAACTCAAACTCAATCCAACATTTCCGTTATACATAATTAGTTTTTACAATCACAAATAAAATGTCTTCCCATAACACAATCCCCTTGCTCTCTTGATGCACACACCCAAACTGTGCACTCATGAGCAGGGGCGGACTGACAACTCATGGGGACCCCGGGCAATATGGAATCATGGGGCCCCTGTGTCCTTGCCCAAACTCAAAAAAGCCTATGAAAAAGGTACCAGGGGCATCTCATGGGGCCCACTACTGACCCTGGGCCCTCGGGCAGTGCCGAGTTTCCAAATGGTCAGTCCGCCCCTGCTCATGAGACCTCCATGACCTTCCTAACATAATAAGTGGGTCCACAATAGTTTAGATTTATTCTGTCCTTCCACGCAGCCTGACAAAGTCACCTCCTTCCAGCTTCTGATCTTTGCAACTTTTAATCCTCCAAATGCATTTTAGCCATCATGAATAAACAATAAAATAGAAAGACATAGTGCAGTAATTTGTACTGCAATAGTACAAATAAAAACACTTGCAAGTGTGCACTCACATCAAAAATACAAATGCCAGAATTCAACATGGTTACTAAACCATATGGATCTAAAGTGGCTGCTGCTAACTCAACTTCCTGTATGTATTCCACAGACCGAAAGTGATGTAGGCAGAAATAACATCAGCATGAAAAGCCCCTGCCCTGGTGTCACTACAATTGGGGACACTGGCTGTGTTAAAACTGGCACTGGTTAGAAGTGATTAGGACACTGGTGCTGGCTTCAATAGCTCTGCTGACACTGGCATGACTAGCAATTATAACAGTATTGCTGGCTTCACCAATTTTATTGACAATGGAACTGGTGTGGCAGTGATCAGGACACTGGTCTGGTGTCACTGCGATTAATGACAATGGACTGGCTCTGATGACCCTGGCACCAGCATGGCCATGATCAAGACACTAGTATGGCAATGTATATAGGTCTGGTATCACTGCAATCAGGAACACTGGCTCTGTTGACACTGGCACTAGTATGGTGGTGATCAGGACACTGGGTATGGTAGTGGTCAGGACACTGGTATGGATGTGATCATAACACTAGTATGGTGGTAATCAGGACACTAGTATGGTGGTGATCGGGACACTGATATGGGAGTGATCAGAACACTAGTATGGAAGTAATCAGGACATTGGTTTTGCCATGATGAGGACATTGGTATTGTGGTGATCAGGACACTGGTATGGCGGTGATCAGGACACTGGTGCTAGTGTATACTGATCTGATGTAAATGTAGTCAGGTACACTGGCTGGTGGCAATGGTCTAGTGACACTGACTGGTGTAGCTAGTGGTAAAGTACAGTGTTACTGGCAGCACTGGTGACACTGGTGCAGGTGTGATAGGTGACAGGTGGCTGGCTGCACAGTTTTTTCAAACTACACTGTGGGTTAGTGATCAGGGACACTGTAAGGCCCGCCCTAGATGGGTCGGAATTCGACCGATTTTTCGTCTGAAAATCGGACCTAAGAAAATTCGGCCGATTTTCGCTCTGATAGTGGGTCAATGACACCGGCCGAATTTTCAATTACATTTTACAGGACCAATTTCATGCATCATCATGTGATCTGCTGTATTCGAAGGACACAGTGATCACGCATCGGCAAAGCTCCTGTCCAGCAGTATATTTACATACTAAACGGAAAGTTGTTAAAGAGACATTGGAGTTGATTTACGTAAAATATAGGCTGTTCACACTTTGCAAGGGAAGGTGCATTTGCTCTGTTGACATCATCCATTCATATGCAAGCAAAAAATGCTTTTTATTTCCTTGCCGATGCTTGAGCATTCTTTGGAAAGTGAAGATGCATTGTATTCACTAAGCTCTGGGGAAAATTCCCTTGCAAAGTGAACAACTTATTTGTCTTTAGTAAGTTACCTCCATTGCCAGTTTACTCATCAAGGGCAAAGTGTCAGTATCTATCAAAACCCCCACCCACCAATACTCACCTTTCTGATAATCTTGTATTGCTCCTTCCTTTGTCACAGCTGGAACTAAAACTGCACGTGTTGTCTTTTGTGGTAGCTTAAAGGAAGCAATTACATCACCCCTCCTTCATGTGACAGTGATGGTGGTTAGTGATTGGCTGTTAGGTCACTTGTTCACCCATACACAGAAACACAGGATATTTTTCATGAGCTGAAGTAGATGCAGGAGGAGCAGAGATTGCTGGGATTGAGTGTTGAGTATCAGTCAACCAACGGGACTTCTCAAGGATTGCCATTTTGCCCTGAATGTGCAGAAAGATCTGGCCCAGAACAGCAATGCTAATGGGAGTATCCAATCACATTTTCAATTACATTCTTCCTGGTTGAAGTTGCCAACACACAAGTACTAGCAAGACATATTCTACAACTATAAAAGAAGGTAATATATACTTACTTTGAAATATCACATAAAGTTTACTAAAAGTTCAATGTTGGTGCTCTTTTAAAAATGAGATATTCTTAGCAAATAAATACAATGGCTCAAACTCATGCGATACTACACCATAAGCATTAATACTAAATAAATAAAAGAAAGAAGGGGGAGATTGCTGCAACCACTGACTAAGTGTACTCTCACGCAAAAAAAAGATTTTACTAAAATTGAATGTTGTGTGCTAACTCCTCATCAAAAGTAAATAAAACTCAAGTAAACAATATGCATCAGTCCACAATAAATCAAATGTGAAAAAGTGGTAGTCAAAACCCAAATTCAAAATGTTCTAATATTGTGCTGTCATCCACTTTGCAAAATGTACTTGTACTACGGGCACACACCCTGCTCACCTTAAAGTTCGACCTACATATTATAATAGGTCAAATGCATTTTGTTGGAATGTATATGCTTCATATTGCGATAAATCCTCCAAAAATATCTTCACTCAGTCACCAGGATCAGGATAAGTCATCCTGTGCAAGTCTCAAGATTCTCAAGCCATAGCTTTTACAGGACTATAGACTCATGAACTATAGACACATGGGGGCTGATTTACTAAAGGCAAATAAGCTGTTCACTTTGCACGGGAACTGCCCTTTAGCTTAGAAAATGTAGGGAAAAATGCAAAGAATACTCAATTACATGCAAGAAAAATAAACAAACAGTATTTTCTGCTTGTACATGTTTGGATGACGGAAGTCTGCAGATCTGCACCTTATTCACTAAGCTAGGAGAAAATTTCTTTGCAAAGTGAACAACTTATTTGCCTTTAACAAATATATAGAATAATGAGTTTGGCT